CGCCGTCTTGTTCTGCCTCCTCATCAAGATCCTCATCTTCCGGCAGAAACTCCAAAAAGTGGATATTCTTAAAAGATCTTTTGTATAGAAGTAAAAGTGAAGGGAGGGCAAATGGGAAGGAAAAGTTTTGGACCTCCATTTCTTTCTCTCCATCGAAAGAAAAGAAGATTCAAGAGGAAAAGCCACCTCCTTCGAGACAGAAACAAAAGGAAAACAAACAAGGAGCGGGTAAGAAAGTGAGTTCTGGAAAGCCAGCGAATGGGGTAGCAAAACGACGGGTGCCTCCGTCGCCGCACGAGTTGCTCTACACTACAAACAGGGCTCAAGCTGAGGAAATGAAGAAGAGGACTTACTTGCCTTACAGGCAAGGATTGTTTGGGTGCTTGGGGTTCAGTTCGAAAGGTTACGGTGCACTTAACGGACTCGCCAGGAGTTTGAATCCAGTCTCGTCCAGGTAGTTAAACGGAGGACAGATTTAGAAAGGGTCCTGTTTTTTCTTGTATAGTTTCTTTTTGGGTTATTGAGGATATTAAATATAAAATACAGTTTAATGTATTTTTATTGTAAGTTTAAGGTTGCCCTCTTGCCTTTTACTTGTAATATTTTTGTACAGTAGAAAGAAGCTAGTATGCTTTAGTCAACATTGTTAAGCTTCTTCAGCTGCCTTGCATTATCTGAATCCCGAAAGTTGATTAATTGCTGTGTTTCCGATTTATTTATGCCCTGGCAGCATCCTTTTTTCAATAGCGAGTAGTGAATTTTTAGGAGTAATCACTGTTTGTGATGGTAAAACTTTTTGGGAGGAGGCTTCCCTTGCCGTGCAATAATTTTATTTTTGTTACTGTTTAGCATCTATCTGAGTCCCCTGCGTTTTTCTCAGACTGCTGCATATGCATGAGACTCTGTAAAATGCTCGTGGCATCTGTAGGAGATTTTGTCTTCTAGTTTTCATAATGTAGTGTTTTTGTGGAATGGATGTTTTCATTTCATATTTATTTAATATATTATTATTATTATTCCTGAGGATGGTTTAGTTCATGATCTGGTGTGGGGTATTCCCTGTAGACCATTTTTTGTCTAGTATTCACCACAACTCTCTCCTTTACAAAAAGCTTTGAATTCTAAGCTTGATTTGTCCTTGTAACTGCAAGTACTTGAATGCTAGAAAGGAAAGAATGGGGATTATGTGGGGGCGGTGGCTAACATCTGCACGTTTATAAGATTATGAATCATTAATAGTATATCCCATCCCCATCGCATCTTTTCAAAGAACCTACCAGTTCTGCAGCTCGGAATTAGCTGACCCACATGGGGTGTGTTCTCAATGTTAGGTGAGCTGTAATCCTCTGTTATTATCCATGTCAAGGCGAGGATTGAATTTTCGTAAAACCTCGTTAGACCCACATGGGGCGACCTTTGTGTTCGGTTAGGTATAAGGATATGACCCACCCTCATTGTGAAAGGCTTTGTAATTTGTATGTGACCCTTTTTTAGGTGTTTCTCATCCACTTCATTGCTATTTGCTTGTATTGATTGATGGACGGGTCGGAGTTAAATGATGTAACCCCTCCCGACCAACCTTATGTGCGATTGGGACCAGATTTTCCTTCTTAGGAATATCAAGTTGGATTGCTAATGCTTAGATTCTTCTCTGCATACATGGGGATTACTGAAAAGTGCCTCATAGGTACTGATACGCACATGGGCACTAAGATCAAGATAATGGTTATTTCTTTTTTACTTAAAGATGTTCAGGGTAAATGATCTGAATCAATTTTAGTATCAACCAAGACTCATCGATAAATGGAATCTAAGATATTTTACTTACCATCGGATGCATGAAGTGATGGATCAAACCAAACCTTGTTAGCAAGATAATGGCTGTTTTTTCTTCGCATGAAGGTGGGTAAATGCAATGCTCCTCCCTCCTTCGCTTCTTTGGTGAAAAGACAATTAAAATTATGAAGCATTGAAGACTGAGAATAGATCTCATAATCCAAAGGTATCTTAATGGAATCTCAAGGGGGACCCAGCTCCATCTCAAATAAATCTGAGACTAGACAAAGGACAGGCCAAGGGATTAGTGATGTCCGAGGCTCCTAAATTGTGGGTTTTGGGCGTTGAAGCTAAGTAGCGATTGCTTTGTTCAGGTTGAGATCATGGCAGTATGTATAGCTACGCTATTGTGAGAGAAAGCTGTTGCCTGCCTCAGTGGCTTTGCAGTGTGACATCAGATTTTTTTCGCCAATAGCGCCGACCGTGGACCATACTAGGGAGATTCGCACTGCAAAACGCATCCAAACATCAATTTTGGTTTACCTTTTCTTTTTCCTTTTTCTATTCCCCATGGCCATGGGCCATGGAGTACTTCATGTTTATGCTTTTTGGGATTCATTTCATCAACCTACGGTTATGTTAGTTAATGCCCCACTTTAAGTCTCTAAGTTACTCTAAATTGGCGATCGGCCTACCCCAGTTTTAAAGCCCACCAGGCGGCCCAGTTCCTCTTTTCCTTTTCGGCTCCGTCGACCACGGACTCACTGTTCAAAGTTCATGCCCAAATTACAGTTCAAGGGATAGCTTGAAAACATACAAAAACGGTCTCATCACCGGGTTAACTTTTTCCAAATATATCAAATCTGATTTTTGTGGTGAAATCTGGAGCATTGTTTCACAGATATGAAGACAACACGGCAGTCACTTAGTATTACCCAGGGGAGCTTTTCTTGTTGTCAGATCAGGTTTATAAATGTGATGGTGAGAGTTTGCCTCATTTAATTCTGCCTCGCACCCTTTTTTTTTTATATATATTTTTTTCCTTTGAGGAGGAGAGGGGAGGGGAGGGAGGAGGAGTCCAGTCATACTTTTGTCTTGTGCATCTTTTGAGGTTGACATGTCATTCTCGTCACTTATTTTCTAATGTTACGTAGTACCCGGTTTTTACCTTTGGCTTTTCCTTCTTGGACCTTGTGCTTCGTTTGATCGTATTCACATCCCAATTGTTTTGATTCTATCGTCATTTTACAGTCAGTTTTGGCTGAAATAGCAACCCCACTGGCTACAGAGCTGAGTTGATGGTTTGCACAGTTAAAATGGGCGGAATGCATGTACCGAACTGAAAAACTAATGGTAAAAATGGGTACTGTCACGCCAACATGACTCCATTTCAAGAACTTGATTTAAGAAGACCCAAAAATCCTTTTATGCATTGTGTTTGATAGAGTTTCTCTATTACTATTTACTTCTCTTTCTTCCATCATTTCTTTCTTTTTAGCCAAAATCAAGTAATTTTATGTTTTTTCTATTCAACTTTTTTATGAAAATAAATCACATGAAAAATTATTAAATTAAATCAACAATAACAATTTGGTTCATGATTTTTTTAAAAGATTAATAATATTTAAGTAATTTGTTTATTTAAACATTTAATTAAATAAACAATATACAATTTTCTATTTAAAGAATAGAGTTTGATTTTTTTTAAAAAAATACAGAAGTCATTTTATTTACAAATTCAAAAAAAGGAAAAAGAAAATAAGATTGTGATAGTTTCTTCTGCTTCATAAAAACGAAAACAAAATGCTTCCATTTATCGAAGAATTTGTACATTTTCTGGTAGAAATGTTAATGGGTATCTCACAATTAAGTGCATTGCATTATCCTATCTGATTAAATAAAATTATAAATAATTATTTAAATATTAAAATTTAGTTATATATAGTATATTTTTATTTATTAAGATCCTTATAATTAATATAATACTAAAATTAATTAATTATTTTAAATATGATTTTAAATTTTAATTTAATTTTTATGAATTAATTTTAATTTGTTAATTTAATTTTTAGTAATAATATACATAAAAACTTATTTTAAATTTATTTTAGTAGAATATTTTACAAATAATATCTAAGATATTTGAGTAACAGATAATAATTTAAAAAATTAATCATATACTTATTAAATTTGAATATCTTATCAAATAATAAAATTAAAATTAAAATATATTAAAAATAAAAATATCATACTTATTTTATATATATATATATAATTTCAATCACCTATTAGATATATTTTTTGAGTAAAAAATATGGATCCATAATTTGTATACTTACTTAAGTTTTATCTTCAAAGTTTAAAACAATACGAGATGATTAATGACATTTAGTATTAGAGAAGGTTTGGAATTTCATTGATATGGTTTCATAAGAGATATAAAAATCGAGATAAATTTAAATTAATATAAGAGGTTCTTAATATAGATTCGGACTAATATAAGAGTTTCTTGTTTTTATGAGTAGAGAATCAATACAATAAAAATATTATATAATTAGATTAGATAAAATATCACATATTTTATATTAATAAAAAATAAAATAAATTTTAAATATATAAATATAAATTTTTTATCATCTATAAATATATTTTTTGAGTTAAAAAAATATTATTTATAAACTTCAAATTTATTTTCTAAATTTAAGACAACGTTTTACTGGAATGGGACGATTATTTTCACCGGCTCAAAGCAAAATCCAAATGCAGATGGAAAAGTGATCAAATTACTCAATGACTAACACGTGTCAAGAGCTGCAACAAATGACATAATCTCTATCTTACACCCCCGGGGCAGCTTTGTATTTCTCCTCGATGTCCTTTGCCAATCACCTCTCCAGCCAAATTATCGCTGTTTCACTTTATTATCTTATCTCGATCAACGTCTCGATCCCAAATCTTTCTCGTTGTAAAGCAATATTAAATTGGCTTCTATCTTTAATTCAATTTTAATCCAAGCGAATTAGGAAATTCAGAGCTAAAAAAGCAATGGGTCCTGAATCGAGCTCGTCAACAACAACATCGACGTCATCCCCAAGCGCGAAACGAAGCAGAGATCCCGAAGATGAGGTTTATCTTGACAATCTCCACTCTCACAAGCGTTATCTCAGTGAGGTTCTTCCCTCTTTTCTTTTCTTTTTATTTTATTTTCATTGTTTTCTTAATGCCCATATTGTCAAATTTTCAACTTTTTAATCTTAGTTTAATTGGATGAGATACCCAAATTGTAGAAAGTTCGATGTTCTATTTCTTTCAACGATAATTTGTCGGGGTAGTTGTTATCTATCTACACGAGGCATTTGTTTGTTACGGTATATATTTTAGATATTTGCAATAAAGGGCTTCAATTATCGAAAAATTAAATCTTTTTTGGCAGATAATGGCGTCTAGTTTGAATGGATTGACTGTTGGGGACCCCCTTCCTGAAAATCTCATGGAATCTCCGGCTAGGTCTGAAGGCATGTTCTATTCCAGGTTAGTTGTTGTCTCAAGCTTAGTCAACTGAGTATTACTAGTTTCTATTGATTTTATTTTGGGACTTTCTATTTTAGTCCCTGTATTATAGAACAAATCCAGATATAGGAAAGAGTGGAGGGACTAATTGGTTTTTTTCATGTTTATAATTTCACCCTTGGAATAATTACATAGCTTTATTATAGATGCTTGTCAATATTGGCATAGTCAATGACTTGAAGATAGCTGTTTCTGGTTGTTGTTGGATATCGATATAGTGGAGTATATCCTGTATGATCGCTACATTTTCCAATAGCTGTTCTGGGGTGCTTGAAATACAATGTAAATATCTATCTTTTGCCTCGTGGTAATTTGTCAAGTGTTTTCTTCCCAGGTAGGACAAAATGTTGATGTTTGTCAATCTAACAATACGCTGAAGATGTTTACTTTGTGATTCTTGCCTTCAATTGTAGCCTGCAACTGGGTTGCATCATCTGAAGGTCTTGTTTTCAATTTTATGAGATAAAGATGGATTGCATTGTATGGGAGGTTAGTTCGCTTAGGGGCTGCATAGGTTTGCTAAGTGGGATTATGTTTCGAAGTTATCTTTGTTTAATTCACGCACCTATTTATTGAGTGAAAGAAATTATGCGACAGATGAAGTTGTATGAGCAGTATGGCATTTGCATGTCCAGAATACTAATTGTGAACAATATTTTACTCTGTTTTGTCTACTTATGGCTTACCTTGGCAGTATAGTATTTGTTTCTACATTTTCAAATCAATATGAAGAAGTTTTTGCATCTTTGAAAACTCACCCTCGTTATCTTTCCAGGGACGAAATGTCATGGCAATGTTCACCAATGTCAGAAGATTCAGATGACTCAAGATTTTGTGAGACGCCTATGAACACTTGCTTATCCCATTCTGACAGCTTGCCCACTAGTCCTGTTTCCCCGTATAGGTATCAAAGACCACTGAATGGTTTCTGCTCCCCTCCTTCAACTAGTTCATACCCTTCTCATGGGAATGTCAGTGCTGTTGCTAGTTCACAGCCTCGCCAAAGAGGCTCAGATACAGAGGGCCGGTTCCCATCCTCACCAAGTGATATTTGCCACTCTGCTGACTTAAGGAGGGCGGCACTCTTGCGTTCTGTACAGATGAGAGCACAGCCTTCTGCTCTGTCATCATTTGAATTGCCATTTGGTTCAGGCCAAGAGAACGTGCCTAATATTGAAGTTGAGGACCGGCCATGCTCGTACATGAAGTCCTTAGTTGATGATAGAGAATATCAGATTGAAGAGTGTTCTTCATTGGGTATCTCAGAGCCTGAATTTAGTCAAGATAATTCTTGCAGAGTGTCAAATATGAATTTGAAAGGGGATGAATCTAGGGATTAGATGCTTTGAGAAATGACTGATGAAAACTGGCTCCAACCTCATTTTGGATATAACTTTTTAAGTGTAGAATTGGACCCATTTGTGGAGCTTGTAATAGATTTTGCAGAGAGTGAGTCGGACAGCCATAATTTTTTGGTTCATCATCAACAGCATCAGAGCTATGAGTTTGCATCTGCTGTTCTTATGTCCAGAACAGAGAGTAGGCTATTTCAGTAATGTGGCAGAACTTTTCATCACTAGAAGTATCCCTGCATAATTTGTTTACTCTCTGTTGGACCAAAGCCCCCTTTGTAAATCAGTGTACATCTTGTTATGCTTTAATATCTGCCAAAACTCTTTGATAAGTATCATTAGATTTGCATACCATTCCAATTTTATAGCAAAACTTATTTTCAGAGTCTCACATTAATGATCAAGAATCTGGCTTGGAATTCATTTTTAGGTAGGGCTAAATGTCAATTTATGCAAGCTTGTTTGAACATGTTATTCAAAATTTTTTGTATAAACCTAGGAAGTCTTGATTGTTCAAGAGGCTGGCATATTGAACGGCCGTGCTCATACGTAAAGTCCTTAGTTGATGATAGAGAATATCAGATTGAAGTTGCACTGCCTCTCAAATTAAGTCTCTGATGCCTCTCTCAACGCGCTGGAGCTTTTCTTAGGCCGAAAACATCAGAGGCTTGATTGTTTAAGACTTGAATCCTAGAGTCTAGCAAAGAGAAAAAATTAATCTGAGCTAGTAGCTTTAGTTTTGACCTGAGGCCATCATGAATTGCTCTTTATCAAATACAAATGAGCTATCATTTAAGTTTTGAATTCAGCCAAAAGGGGAAAGCAGAAAAAGAGCCTCTAAAAAGTGTGTTTTAATTTAACAATTGGAAGTCGTATCACTGAAAAACACTGGTGTAAATATTAAGATGTGCCGAACAAAATCACTGCTCTAGCAAGTTGTAGTTCTCATAAAAAACTAGTTCTTAACTACTACTGCACGCAAGTGCTTAATTCAAATCAAGGCCCAACTGTTTGCTGCTCAAAGATCCCCTCAAGATTAAAATCAGGGTGAAATACTAGATCCCCGCACAGGGAGGAAAACCAATCCCACCGGTGCACCAGACAAGTGAAATACAGTGATCTACCAATTTCATGCGAATGCGGAAAGGACATTCTTCTTAAGCGTGAATTCATCAGCTTTTGCGGGGCTTATTGACTGCACAAAAAGACAAATAAACACTCAGTATAGAACAATCTCAAATAGTAGCATTATAGCAGTTGCTTAAAATGTAAAGTACGGCTCCTGCAGTTAATTAGGTTATAAACACCCCTACAAAGTGGCACTAACATGAGTTCCATATTACCCATCAAAATCTCATGATTTTAGAATTTTAATCTTCAATAACCTACTGTCAAATATCATAGTGATGGCAAAAATGACATCAGGGCACATCCTATTAATTAATTATAATCTTCAAACCACCAAAATGTAAATTAGCTTAAGGATGCTCTGATTGCTACCAACAGCAAATCCTTACCTTGTCCAGAATGCGCTGCAGCCGCTCAATTTCCTTCTTGGGATAATCAGCACCTTTCTCCAAACAGCTTTTAGCAGCTTTCAAGTATATCTTTCCATACCTGACAACAAGCAGCATAGACAGTTATACATAGAACAGCAGTTCTTTTAGACTAAAGAAAACTCAAACAGGAAACAAGGAACTGATCGAATACCTCAGAGTGGAACCCTTGAGCTTCTCAACTTCCTCTTCAATCTTAGAGAAGACTGCTTTCTTGTCATCATTGCTAGCAGCCACAAACTCCTTCACCAATGCATCCAAACTTGACAAAATACCGGCCTATGCAAAAAAGAAGGAAAATTTATCTCATACAGAAGTATCAATAATGACAAACAGGATGTACAACAGTAATAATAGGAAATACTAACCTTTGAAGTTAGCTGCCCTTTAGCATCACGACTGGTGCCAGACTTCTCATTGATAAAAGTAACAAAGTCATCTAGATCCCTGCCACCGTTGTAGTCTTCACCAGCTTTGTTGCCCTTTGGAAAGAATTTCAATGTTGGATACCCACTTACTCCATACCTGCACTTAAGGCAAAGGCCCTAACATCCATCAATACCTTCCATAAATGCTAACAAACCATTTCTAAAGGAAACTGAGTTAATTCACACTTACTTTTCAGCTAGATCCTTGTGTTTGTCAGCATCTAGATTAGCGATCACTACATCTTCTTCCATTTTAAATGCTGTAGCTACCTTTTCATAGGTCTGTAGGGGCAAAGAAACAAAAAAAGCAAAGGGTTAGAATATAGATCATTTAACCAAAATTACCATGCTTACTTTTTAAAGCAAAGATATGGATGCTTACAGGAGCAAGGTTCTTGCAATGGCCACACCTGGCAGAAAACGAACCAAGATCTAGGTCAACTTAGAACACATTAAATAGAACAGATGGAAGCAAAAGAAAACCAACAAAACTTGCTAGATAAGAATATTTTAGATGCAATAAAATGAGGTCCTTAAAATGTAAAGCTCCCACCTAAGGGAGATTTGCAACAGCTGAACTAGAAAAAGCCCCTAACCTTCATTACTTTTGCAAAATGATAATAATACCAACAACATAAAATAGACACATATGCTTACCAAGGTGCATAAAACTCAACCAACACATCTTTGGTCTCATCAAGGACAATCTCATCAAAATTATCAGCATTTAGCACTGCAACATTAGATGGTAATGTGGCTATCTTCACATTGGTCCCTGCAAAATAATACACGGGCTTAGAAAATCTCTAGAGGTTTTTGGGCATCTATGTTCAGCAAGTTCACGTTGGGAAACACAGAAGCAAGAAGTCAAGATACAATTTTCCTAGATTAACCAACCACAAAGCAGAAACTTCTACAAAGAAAAAAGAGAAATTTTACCTCCTTCAGTGTTCACATACTCAGCAAGGGACTCTGCAGTCCGTGGTCCTTCATACCTAGATAAAACAATTTTGATCTACTAAATTGATATCGCCAATAAAACTTAACATAAAACAAAACAAAACAAAACTTTTCCGGGGTATGTTTCTACAAGTTAAATTAGACTCACTCACTTTTTAGGTTCCAAAGAGCCTTTAGGAAACCACTGAATAGTTGGGTAGCCTTGGACACCATATTTGCTGCATAAACTCTTATGCTCATCACAGTCCACCTACACCCACATCAAAAAAGGGAAAAGCATTTCTAATAAAGCAATAGCAATTGCAAGAAAATCTTCAACATAGCAAAATTTCCACAATTCAAGAAAGAACATAAATGAATTTGATATGAATAGTTTAAATCTTCCAATCAACAGCTCATATACAAACAATATAAATCACTAACCTTTCCAATCAAGATGGACTTAGCCTTCTTAAAGCTTGCCCCAACTTTCTCGTACTCGGGAGCTAGCTTCTTACAGTGACCACACCTGCAGTTGGAAAAAACAATAATGTTACAAATATAACTAGCTGGAACAGAGTTTTTTGCCAGTGAAAAACCGATTATTCTAAATCCATAGCCAGAAATGAGATCACTGAACTGACATGCCTTTTAAAAGAAAAACACATATACGAAATTCACATTCTTGAGAAAAAAAAAAAGCCTTAAAAATAACATATTTAGCAACAATTGAATGATCTACAAAGTTTGTTCCTAATAAGCAATGTCAAAGAACATCTTTACCAGCAATTCAATTATCTACAGAGTTTGATCCTGATAAGCAAATATCAAATAAACATAGATCTAAAGATCGATTAATGAAGATCGAGTGTGAAAGACCGTAAAGATAAAGTATAAATCTAATCTAATAAAAAAAAATGAAAACGCTAGAGATAGAGATAGCAATGGAAAAGTTATTACCAAGGAGCATAGAACTCGACGAGAGCTGCTCTGTCTTGACCAACTTCCTTATCGAAGTTTTCTTCGGTTAGTACAACGACATCGTCCGCCAAGGCTGATGCCAATAGCAAAGCCAAGGTTCCAAAGGCTATCCAGATCTGAGACTTCTCCATTTCTTTTGTTTCTTGCTTCCTCTGTCTTCACTCTTCACACCCCCGTCCAGGTTTCGATATTTATTGTTATTATTGTTCCCAGGCTTGAGAAGACTTTTAGAAGGGTACGATTTTCTCCCTTTCTAATTTTTAATTTTCTACTTTATCAAAGTTTATCATTTTCTAGATCAATTTTTTCAAAACATATACTGATATTTTTTAGGTGGGCTTGTTTGGTTTTGAGCGTTGGACTTCTTGAACGATGAAAGAGTTAGTAAAATGGAAGGACGCGCAGAGAAGAACACCGTACTCTATACCTTAAACGATGACGTGGCATAATTTCATTCGTTGAAAATGTGATTAGTTCGTTGGCGCATTCTTTTACCAGGATGCCTAGCGGATATGATATTTTCCTTGCACTTCGGTAAAGCGAACGCCGGTGACGTGTTTCTGTTGATATGGCATACTGTGATAGGCTCGGCTGTCGTGGAAGACTTAGGATTGAAGTTAGAAGCCGCTTAGCCCAATTTTTATTTTCATTTTTTTTAATGGCCCAATTAGGTGAATGTGGATTGGGCTAATTGACCATTGTCGTATCAAATTATTAATTGACTCTGAAAGGCTCAATAGTTCATGTTACAAGAGTAGCATAACCTCAAGGCAATGACTAGAATAAAGGAGGTCCTTCGATTATTGCGCCAACAAAAGTGGGCTTCTTTTTTCCTTGGGTTTTCCCAACTTAGGAAGGAGCCTCCACTGCACAAAGGAGTCTGCAACCAAAGCCCATTGCTTGCACCATGTGCTTAACTCTGATCAACAAGATCTACACTGCAAAAAACGAAAAAAGACATCTTCCAATGACCATTGCTATGAAAGATTTCCTTAAGAAAGCTGTCAAAATATCAGAACCAGTGGATTTGATACGTAATTCTAATCAACTCGTTCCAATAATTGCTGCTTGGAATTTACAACTCAGTCGATGCTGGAACAACATCGTCAGCCTCGAGGGTGATTTTAATATTATAACTAATTATAATATTTATCCTAAACCCTAATTAAACTATTTTAATCAAGTCTTTAGAAGTTGAAAACTTAGTGTATGATTTAAGTCCAACTTAAAATCATTATACTTTCAATTTAATTCACAATTCAACTTATTATGACCACCTTGTTAGAAGAGTCAAAAGGCCTTTTAACAACCTTTCAATTTATAATCTATCAATGTAATTCATTCTCTCATCATATATTTTGTAAATGATAAAAGTATAATGTAGTATCTATTTTTATTGATCTTCATATTTGTTTTTAAAGTTAAATTATTAGCTTTATAGAAACTTATGAAACTCTTTTTAATAATCTCTAAGTTGCCTTGACTAAGAACTTAAACAAGCCAATACATATTAAGATATGTCTCTAAATCACTTGGATTGATGATTCTTTTCTTAACTACTTATTTACTTTCATATGCTTCATGCTATAACCAACCATATCCTGTTTTAGCATTTTTAGTAGAACTCATAAGAATATGATCCAATACATAGCACTCCACATATAAAACAACCTGTTATTTTAAATCTAATGAGTGTTTACACAACTAATATATGAAAATATTTGCATAAACACTAAAGTGAAACACCAAATTCATTTCTCATGTTGAGTTATATTCAGTAAACTTGTTTGTGAAGCAAACCCTTATATTCTAATTTCAAATATCACTATACTTTAACCTATAAGATCAGTTGCTTACTTTCCAAGTAAGAAACATAGAATGCACTAATCTTTAAGTATCATTAAAGTCCAGTTTCAATAATACATCAATCAAGAACATTTAGATATTATACTTTGATACATAGAGATCTCATAATTCTAACTCATTACAATTTTTTTATAAGATATATTAATCTCATATACTTCATCCAATAAATTTATAACTTTTATAATTAATGCCTTATTGATGAATAAAAACCTGTAATCATTTAACGTGAATGTTATGATTGTATGTCTAGAACTAAGTTTTAATCAATCTTAATTGATTGCAAAGCTGATTCCAACGTACTCTGTATAGAATGAGTACATGGAAAAAAAGGTTCTACCAAAAGTATATACAATAATAAGGATTATTATTTTTCTTGACTCAATTTCATGGAATACCATAATATTTCCAACAAATACCAAAAGCAACATATTTTGTTACTATTGAATGGGTTGACATCATAAGAATTTATTTATTTTAATGAGAAAAAAAACAATAATTTTATGAATAAATCAAAAACACTTTTTCCTTTGAAAGGGCAAATCAAACACACTCCTTAATTAAGGCAAATTGTAGGCATCTTCTTCTATGGATTCAGCTAGCTTAAAAGTTGCCTTTGAAGCGTGAGATTTAAATCTGCAAAGAAAATTTCTATTTGTATTCACCTAATTTGAGCCCTTTGATCAGACAACGTGAACATGAATGAATCTTCTACCTTGAGTTCTAATTCAGACCTGATAACAACAAAGCCCTCCCACCTCAAATGGAAATCCCTTTCCAAAGGAGAGGAGATACCACTCCATCAATTCAAGAACAAAAAGTTTTCTTTTAATTTCACATTTCTAATATGGGCTCTTTAATTACCGATCCCCACCGAAACAATCTAAATTGTTCTCATGCATGCATACTATCCTTTTCATCTGAAGAATATTTTACAGACAGAAGCAACAAGAGCAAAGCTCAATAAACGACTAAAATTGCCACGAAGAAAATCGCTAATAAGCTCATTAACAACTTCAATTCAGTTAGATAACTGACTCAAGTCTTCATACTTGTTCCACTCCCACCTTACCTTAAGTGTGACATGGCATGCATGACCATGATTATAACCAAATATGACAAAATTTATGAAGATAAGCATGACTTCTAACCAAGATGCAACATAAGCAATATGCTGCTCTGAACATTTCTTACTTGTTTATTATACTTTTTGTGTCTGTCTCACCCTTCACACTAAATATGGCATCCACAAAATCCTCTTTTGTCCTCACCAGCCCCTCCAAACGACCACATAATGTGCATGTAGAGTGTATTGCTGAATCTGCAGTCTCTGAGCTGATGTTGCTAATTGTAATAGTATCAGTTTCTAACGAGTGCTGCAAGGAAATTGGGAGACTGAAGTTCTTTAATGTTATACTGCCAATTAATAGTGCAGTGTTTCTTGATTCCACATTTCTGGAAAAGCATACATTAATACTTGTTAGTTTCTGGCTAAAAACATACTTACCAGGTGACCATATGCAAAAAGAGATGACATAGGAGGAAGGAAAGATAATAACGTGAAGAAAGAGAAATACCTTAACTTCAATGTCACAACAATCAAGTCCATTTGGAACTGACCTCTTGGAAGCCTTTGAGACCTTGCCAAAAACTGACATTGCCTCCTTCAACTGGAGAAGCTTGATTATAGATGGTACATTCTTAATCATAACAGAACGTGAAGTTCTGAACTTGAAGGTACATTCTTCATCTTTGCAGTTCTCAAAGTCTAGAGAAGGAACTAGAGAAGAGTTCCCCACTTCTAGTGATATATCCTTCATGCTAGGGCAGCTGTCTGCCTTAGAAAATGAGACATAGGGTTTCCTTTTGGTACCACTGATTCTCTACGTCAAATGGAGATTTTAGACTACACTCAAGTCAGAGCACATTTGACATCTTGGGAACCAGAGCTAATCATGAAAATTTATTTGTAGAGAGACGTCAACAGGAAAACACCCAACATAAATGCAGCCACTAAGACATACCTGCCATAGAGGGACAGAAGGGTGGGAAGGAGTTTAGGAACTGCCTTGAATGCTTACACCAAAAGGTTCAGGCTTTTCTGTCTTCAGTTTTGGAATCACACCTCCACCTTCCACTGGTAAGCCTAATTCGACAAAATAATCATCATCATCGGTCGAAGTATGCAATTGCCGCTTTAGGCTCTCAAACCCTTTTGATTGGATGCTGCTGAAAACTCTTTTGTAAGATAACCTCCCATACACTATGTGCTAATAGAATTTATAAATTCCAGAGTCACATCTACTTTGCATAGAATGCAGTTAATTGCTTAAGATTTTAATCCAAAAGGACTACCTGAATGTGCAGATTTTTGGGAAAAATGCATTGAGCAAACAGCTGTTCACTTGTGCTCTTAATAGGCTGCACGAATGTTAGCAAACCCAAGTGCTTCAAAAAAAGGCAGGGCTTATTATTGCAACTCGTATACCTTAACGTACTCACACATTCCAAAAGACTAATATTGACAAGAAAGTGCGTTGATGATAAACACGAGCATGATGCTGATTGAGAATACCAAGTATCAATTCAAATGACTCCTGCACAGATGAGTACATTAAAAAAACTATGCTAATGGAATAGAAAGCACATAATACACAATGAAGTGTAAAGACTCCTGCACAGATTACCTTTGAAACTACATTCTATTCTAAAACCAATGCAATCGAGGCATGTCAACGAGCAGCTCTAAATTAGGACCTGGAACTCCCTTATGAAAAGTTTCGTCTATTATTCCTTTCTTATTGTTTTCACTTTATGAAACAATCCAATGTCATAAAACGACTCTTATCATGAACAACAATAAGCTTTGTCACCCTCCTTCATGACACCATGAGAGTTACCTAAAGGTATTTCTTCCTGTCAGAAGGTAATGCAGCCATCGTTGCATCAACCCAATATTAATCCTAGTTAATAATTCCAAATTGCCAGCAAGATATAACTCCACTTACTAAAATGGTAAACCCTTAATAGAATTACCCACAAATTATTTTTAGTCAAATATTTTATCCACTTCATCATTACCCATCATGGTATTAAACTTAACAAACAAGCCACAAGTTATTATCAAGAATCAGATATACAAAGCTGCCTCAAAACAGACAATGTTGATAATTACGTGTGAAAGCAGAAACCCTTTTGTATTAATCAGTCAATTTGCACCATATCAAAGAAATTTACAGCATTAAAGCGGCTAAATTGATAAAGCACCATAAAAATACATAACAAACAAACTCGTATAAAAATAGACTGCGAAACTTGCCTGGTAAAAGGCATAATCATTTTCCTTCCTGAAACAATGCCATTGTCACCTTGGAAAAAATTCAGCATGTGTCAGTTTCATCATTTGGGAGTGAAAAGGAAAGCCCCAAAGTAGTAGAAGAATACTTACCGGTCAATTGATGGTAGAGAGAAGCTCGAAGTCTGCACCTAATCATTGCCACTCAGCTTTCTGCCGCGCGCTTGCCAGTAAGAAACGAGCGCTTGATGACTCCGGACAGCTTGAGGGCACGGAAATAACCAAAACAGAATTGCACGTATTCATTAAGCTATTTTTTAAAAGTTTAATAAAGTAATTGATAACTATTGGTGATAATATTTTAATTTCATATATATAATTTAAAATTTTTAAACGAAAATAAAAAATAATAATTCTATACTCGATGAGAATACATTTCAATTTTTTAGCTTGTTTGTGAAATTTAAAAAATTTATAATTAATGAATAAAATAATAGATAAATAAAAAAATATCATCTAATTTGAAGCAAAATAAATTTTTTTAAAAAAATTAAAATTTTATATTCTATTATTTGTTTTTTTATTAGAATTTTCTTATATAATAAAGCTTGTTTGACTTAATCTTTTTAGCTTAAAAACTATTATAAAACTCTTAAGAAAAATAATAATTTTTAAAAGCTGTTTGGTAAAATAAATTATACAAGTTCTCATTATGTTAAAATTGTTACAAAAGATATTCATATCATATTTGATCACCTAATTAATCAAAACGAAATAAATCTATTTCAAATTTATATACAATTTTAGATATTAAAATCAAATAAAGTCATACAAAATTTGAAGAGTTCTCAAACTTTGTAATATTAGATTTTTATTGATCTAACAAGTAATCTAATCATAATACTTCAATTCTCCAAGAAATAAGAGAAAAGAGAAAATGAGGTATTTGCCATAAAAATTCCTTTTGGTATAAAAGAGAAAAAACAATTAAATATTTTTTTAATGCAGCTTTGAATTTTGAATTTTTTTTTCTTAAATCTTTCTAAAAACAAAAAAATTTCAAATTTTACCATTCAATTGTTAGAACTTCTATTTTGTTTTTAGTAAAGGAGTAGACGAGAATGAGATTCTAATTTGTATTAGAGAATGGTGATTTGTAAGGAAAGAAAGATGATAGAGAGATCGATTTAGAGATAGGATATTTCTTAAAAATTTGATTATGTTTTTTTTTTAAAAAAATAGAAGTTAAAGCTCCTATATAGAACTTTTCTTTAATTTTTTTAAAATTTACTTCTTTATAAAAATTATTTTTTAAATAACTTTTTCAAAATCTTATTTGATTCGACTTTTATTTTTAAGTGATAAATAAATTTAAAAAAAACAGACCAAATAGACACCAAAACTAAAAGAACTAAAATATCTCTTGTTTAAAAAATTAATACTAATAATAAACTAAAAGCAAAAGAAACTTGAAAACTTTTTAAAATATAATAAACAGTTTTAAATAGAAAAGTAAAAAAATAAATATAAGATAACTAAGTGTCAATTTTTAAATTTTAAAAGACAAATTTATTTTATCTCAAACCATAACATATTTTTTTCAGTAATTTACCCTATAATAATATATTTTTACATTGTTTTAAATTTAAGAAATACTAAATTATGAATGAATAATTGAATACGTGTGTCCCGAAAGAACATTTTTAGCCTTGCGGCAATACAGTTTTTATCTTAGTTTATAAAATTGAGACGGAAATGATTATTTTCAAAATTCTCAATATATTTTCTTTAAAAGATATATAATGAAAGGTTTTTGGTACATAAAATCATCACAAAATATAAGATAGTAACTTAATCAAAATATAATAAATAAACTAAATTTTCACATTTATATTTTTATAAAAAAATTAATGTAGAATGCGATACTAAAGCAAACATTATTATGTTATACAAAAAAAATATTAGCCCTAAATCATTATGATAGAGGTAAAATGGAAGCAACAGTTTAGTTAAAAGTCTTTGTTTTTTATCAATTCATGTTTTTGGTTTTTGTTGTTATTTATTTCTTTATCAATTGAGGTTACTTGGTGAAGCCTTGTTTTCAATTAATGTTAATTTTTTTAATGCTGTGAAATGCTTAATAAAAACAGTTATATAAAAAGAAAATTTGAAAACAAATTGATAGATGGATAAAACTCAATTTGTAGATCAATAATATGTACCATGATGCATTTTTCAAAAATTTAATAAAAATAATCTATTTGATGAGTTTTTATATTATAGAATTAGAGTATATATTAATTTTGATTTTCAATGTTAATCTTCATGTAAACTTTTTTTTTTAGACCAAACTATTTTTAATCATGAATTTCACGAATTTTACTTAAAAATTTACATGTCTTGTCATTTTATCTTTTAATAGTAAAGTTTTTACATTATTTATTAATAGTTAAATCTAAAAAGCCTTCTCAAAATATTTTAAATGAACACTTTTAATTCTTCGTATTTCAAAATGATGTTTTTTGTTTCTTGAGTGTTAACCGCGTTAGTCAACTGCTTAAAAAAATTAGGCCTAATCCTACATAAATATTTTAAAACATAAATATCCTTTATATTATTTTTTAATTTAAACATATTCTCTTTTTAAAATATATCTATTTATGGCTCTCTCAAAAACTACTAAAAGATTTTGATTTGAATGCATGAAAATTTGAAGCTTTATCCACCTTAAAAATTGTAAACTTAAGTAAAATCTATTGATATCACACTTTTTATATCTCCAACAATTTGAGAATTTTTTTCATTAATAAGAATGTATTAAAGGTAAATATTTTATTAAATGATGGAATTTCAATTTTAATGGTGTCAAGTCGAGATTAATTTCTTACTCATTGTTATTAATTTTGTTGAAAATTTTTTTATTAAAAATTTGTTGTTTAATATTAGGGTTTAAATGGACATAAAAAGATCTTAAATTGATTATTATATATATTAAAAGTTTAAAGTGTTTTTTTGTCAAATATTGAATTTTATTAAGTTTTGAAAAGAAAAATGAACAGATTTTTTTAAGACAATATTTATGTAGTATTAGATTTTTTTTTTAAACTATTGACTAACGGTATTAACCATTAAAAGGTCAAAAATATCATTTTAAAACAAAAGATATCAAAGTGTTATTTAGAAATGTTTTGAAAAGCTTTTTGGATTTTACGTATTTATTAAAACTAGGATTAACTAATTAAATTATTCTATAAAAGGAAATCCTCTTACTTTACAAACATATTAACTTTAAATACTATTATTTATGCAAATCTTTTAATTTTAGAAGAATACACTGGTTAAATTTTAAACTTACGGAAAGATCTTGATGCTTATAACTTGTTTAAAAAAAATCAATAAGTTATAATTTTACAAATCAAAATTTAAGACAATTATATGACTTTGGAGGGGACCATTGATTTATTTTGAGAGATATATCTAAAAAAAATTATATATTTAAATAAATTTAAATTTTTTTAAAATTTATGTATTATGAATCCTAAATCAATAAAAAATAAAATAAATCTTAAATATATAAATATGTTATTCTTCCACTTATCAAATATATTTTTTGAATTGAAAAAAAAATTAAATATATGTTTAAAATAAAAAAGATACATTCCTATAAACACTTTTCTTTTTTCTCAAATTATAAATAATTTCTTAAGTGAAAAGATATATCTGAGTCCCACCAGTATGATAGGAGATTTTATAAGATATCTTCAATAGAAAGCTTTGCTTGTAGTTGGATTGTATTAACGAAAATATTATTTTTACTTACAAACAACTACTCCGATGATGGGATTTACTAGTTCAACTTGCGAAGGTAAGTTTCCCTGGTAATTCCTAAGTAAGAGAATATTTCTAGATCTCACCATGGGCAAATTCAATAAACATCCTCAATAAAAGGTTTTCTTTGGTATTTTTCAAATTTTTTTATATTGTATTTTATAATTGCATCATGCGCATGTCACAGTCGTAAAACTAAATAAAATATTTTAATAAAATAAAAAATAAAGTAAATAAACAATAATTAAGAAAACACGAGAATAAAATTAATGGTTTAAAATAACATATAATTAAGTGGTATCATTCGTGAAATGGGTGCTATAAAGATGTTAATCCTTTATCATGCGTAGTCATACTTTTGAACTTAACTCTAAAAAACATAGATTAATTTATTATTTTTTCGATGAACTTAAAATCAATTTAAAATTTTATCAGATAGACTGAATTTAATAAATGACTACTTGTATCTAGATAAAAAAGTTTGATGATAACTCTTTAAGTTTTTTACGTCTACCGGTCAGATTTGCAAACCCGACACGAGACGACAATTCCATTTATGGTTCCCAACCTTCTAGACCTTTTACTTTATTTTTGAAACAAGAAGATAGAGATTGGTGCCGGAGTTAAATATGCCATGATTATGGTAATGTATCTCGTGTTTGTATGCATCGATGATGACGGTGTCCTTGATTTCTTAAGATTTTGTGTAGTGGGTAAGATTAATAGTAATAACTTTGTTTTCTTAAGATTGGTCTAAAAATCTCATCGCAAAGATTCGTCATGATCTATTAATTGTCAACATCGGTAGTGGAGACAAAAATTATGGTTCATTTTATGTACACGTTTTTCATGAATTATGAATAATAATTGTTGAAAAAGTTTAAAGGAAAAATCTTACAGCTCTAAGAAAGATATGACATTTAAAAAAATTATATAATTTTTAAATTTTAATTATATTTAGTAAAGCTTTTATTTTTTTAGAATTAAATATTTAGAATTAATTATTTTTTATATAACATGCTATTGATATAATAATTAATAATATAATATATTGATAGTATAAAAATATTAGGTTTTTTTTAAAAAAATTTATATTAGTTTTTATGTGAACATAAAAAAGATTGCTCGTTTGGCCCGTACTCTCTGTACTGAGAGTACAGTGTTCTACAAATGAACCCCTTCGAAGATTTTTGGTTTTAAACTATTTGTGTTAATAAGTGAATGGTAATTAGAACTAAAACTAATGTAAATTAAAAAATAGTTAAAAAATATGAGTAACAGTGAAGGATTGTCCACGTTAGCGGTAATAATTTTCTGATAAGGAAAAAATGAGTTTGCGAGACTAAATCCCTTGGGAATATTACTGGAAAGAAAGAATCCGGAGCCTTCTTCCGAATCTTCTGCAACTTTGTCATCTTGCATCGTCTCTGTGACCTTGGGCTTTCGTTATGTAGAGTGGGAAGATGAGATGACGAAAGAGACGGGTGAAAAGAAGTAATAAGAAAATATTTTTATTAGTATCGGGTAAAAGAAAATGAGATGTGTATTCTGTTTATTTATAAAAATAAATTATTTCTGATTGAAAAATAAAAAGAGAGAAAATGAGAGAAAAAATAAAGTTGTTCATCACTTTTAAAATTTATCTTTTTATTTTAACATAGGTTAGTTATAATAATAAAGTAATTTTATTTTTTTGAAAAAACTCTATTTAATAATAGATGAAATTTTTTATTTTCATTTTCTGATTTTTTTATGTTTCCATTCAAACCATCAAAAAAACCTACTTCCGTATGGGAACGGCCCATGCTAGCTAAAGGAGAATGACTAGGTACTTGGTGGAATTTAAAACCTCAGAATCAGAGCCTTGATATAATATTCATAGACTAATCCCTCAGGATCACGTCATTGACAGACGAAATGAAATGTAGCATCAATGTGAATGTCCTCTAGGCGATAACTTCGGCGGCTAAATATTCAAAGGCCCATGCCAGGTCCGGAAACTGTGCCGGATTAACATAAATGAGAAGAGTAGACCGGTCCAAGCGCATTCAACTCTTCGAGATGCCAGTTCACCATCTAATCATAATCTTCAGAGAAATACAGATCATCTCTCTTCCTAGGGAATACGGAAGCCAGTTAGAACATTTTTCTTTTCCTTCTGATTTTCCCAGTTGGGGGTTTGGAGAAGAAGACGCAGCCGTTGCAGACCTGTCCCTCTTCTCACATGCCCTGGGGACTCTGGTTATCTGTGACCTATCTTTTAGGAAATTGTACAGGCGATAGATAACAGTGCCCCGTGAATCCGTGATGATGAGTTTTGTTTTTTGTTAGGTTAAGTATAATTGTCTTCCAGATAAATTGACGATGCTTCCCCTCCTGATCCCATGGAAAGAGCAAAGACACCTGGCTGGCTCCCTTGCTTGGTGTTGCCCGCTACACAAAGGCGGGGCTCTAACGCCAGCAACTATAGACGTACTAGCTGTAGCTGGGTTTTTCAGTTTAGAATTTTAATGAAATAATGAAATCAATATGAACTTTCTTGGAAAGAAACTGTTCTTTAATCTTGCGCAATTGACAAACTTAACACTGCCATTGAAATGCCTCGTTGTATAAATAGAGCCTGACTTGGGACTCCCAACAACTACTTCGCCTTTTGATTCAAACTCACATACTTATCCACAGACACAATATGCTTATTGTAGCGTATTTTCAGAAAAACAATGAAGAAGATATAGATAGATATTTTGAATATTTTTATTAAATATCTAATTATTAAAAATTCATTTATTTTGTATTTTTTAAATTTCAAAGATTTGGATATTAGACAAAAAAAATAAAAAAGTTAAATTCACTTTTTTAATGTTTTAATTAATAAATTAATATGATATATATTATTTTAAATTATATATAATATATTAAAAGTTTAAATTTTAAAATATGTTTTCAATTTATATCATATAATTCTCAATTATATTGATCAATATAATATTTTTATTTTGTTTATTTTAATATATATTATTTATAATTAATTTTAATTTTTTATTGTATGATACTACTATTAGTAAATGATTTTTGTTTTTTATAAATTTTGTTATTTTAAACTTTTATACATTTAATGCATGTGCTAGGTACACGTGACAAGAACATTGTCGGCTTGACAGATAGGTGCTAATAAATATTAAAGGGGTGTAAAATTCTTCTATTCAAGTTTTTTTAATAAAAAAAATTTCAACCCCAATTTTTAATAAGAAATACATATAACTCAAATATTAAAAAAAAAAAGGCTCAACTTCTATTCATAGTTGCCGTATATATGATAATTCATATCGATGGAGATTATGTTTGATACTCATGGACCGTCAAAGGTACAGTTGGGTTGGGAACTGCTGTTCCGTTGGAAGGATTCGTCCATTTTTCATTCTTTAATTCGTTGGAGATATGTCACGTCGTTCAAAAGTAACGGCAGCGGCCGAGTGGGGTTGCCCATAATTAATTCACGGAGGATGGCCCCTGGCTCCACACACACGCCGGGTCATTAGTATTTGCAGTTAAGGTCTCTGTTTCAAACTCGTGCAAGTAGGATCCTTCCGCCATTACATTTGTGCTGCTCTTATGCCAACTACGTAGGGGGAGTGATTAACACATGTTGCCAATTTGCCCGGATTGCAAGACTGGCATGAGGTGAAGAGCTACTACCCTAACGTTACTCGGTTAAAAGTCAGGCAGAAATAAAGTTATTAAGTCAAATTTAATTGTCGCCGATTTATTTGTCTTGATACATTTGTTATAGTTTTAAAACGTGTCTAAAACTGTAGATTATAATAATTGAATTTATTAAGGCGTCAGTATTTAACTGTTATTATATTTTGAAAATGAATTGTACGAATTTGTTAAATTTGCAAAATCAATTAATATATAATTTAAGATATCCAAATGGAAAAAAAAAAAGATCTTAATGTTCTCCTTCGGCGATGCAAGTGTATGGAATTGATCTTCACTTATTTATACAACTTGTATAACAAATTAAATGCAAAAAATACTTTCTAATTAAGTCGGTTTCTTAACTTTTGAATGCAATGACACTGCACTCCCTCTCTGATGGAGTAATAGTCTCATGGACCACTGCCTGCACAACAAATTTCAAGCCGCCAGCTAGCTAGGCTGCTGATCAACCCAACGTTGCTGTACGCCATTCTACAACTCTTGAGGTCCGTACACTCCTAGCTGGGTGAAGTTAATTAATTGCCTTTATAAAGTTTAAATGCTGCAATTTTATTGCGGAAGAAACGAAATACTACTTTATGTCCCCTCAAAATTACGATATCAATGGAACAAAAGCTAGTTTCGTTTTCTTTCTTCTTCTCCTTGTATTATTAGGAAGAAACAAAACTTGTTATACAAACTAAAGGGCCAAGGTCACCGATAAAATTTTGCAAAATAAGTGGCTGTTTTGAGATAAATCTATCCTTTAACATATGGTCGCAAAATATAATAAGAGATGATAAAATTATTTGAACTAATGTTCTCCATTATCAATTTTGTTACAAACAAAATGGAATAGGAAAACAAAAACGAGCATGATCAGGATTCAGGAGACAAACAAAAACACAAAAAAAAAAATAAAAAACGACACAGATTTGTTGCTACAGTCTAGCTCACTGTCAAATCTAAATGGACAAACCAAAAAAAATGAAAAAGGGAAAAGGTTGTAACAGAGGGATGAGAGCATTAGTAGAAAAGCCAAGCAACCAAGGAATTTTGCCTCTCAAATTCCTTGTCTTCCAATTTATGTCTTTCTCCTTTCCCATCAGCTTCGCTCTCCCATAGCCATGATGGCATGTACTCTTTCTCATCCCAAAGCTCGTTTCCTTGAACTAAACGCTCCCAGCCCCAATCAAGATTATTATCAATACTACACTCATCGACGAAGCACGAGGTTATTGAAGAACAGGAATTTAAGTCCCCACAATCTACGTTAGAGGTCAAGTTTCCACTCTCTATCTCCTCATTATTTGCAGCCGTTTGATTTGGACTCAAAAGTCCACTGTTCTCTCTCTCCTCAATATTAACAGTGACCTTGTTCTCTCCCCACTCTCTTAAGGTCAAATCCCCATTTGGTTCTAGCAATTCATTGTCCATAATGTCATTAAAACATAGCATCCCACCGCTTTCAATATTTTCAAACGGTGCTACGTCAGTCTCTGTCTCGGCGTTACCACTAGTGCATAGCATTGAATTCTCTATGGTTCTTTCCTCACCGGAGCTAGACATAGAAACCAGGCGCTCTCTCTCCTCGCTTGACCCCAACATTCCCTCTCCGGTGTCTTGACCAGGACTCGGTCGAACAGGGATCATTCTCTCCTTATCTTCTCCATATGGATCAAGTGCCATGCGATCTTCTATGGCAGTAGTGGACAAGGTTTCTTTTTCTAAGATTGGAGTGGTGGCAATGGCACAACTTCATTAACAAAAACGTTTTCCACAGTTTTCTGGGAAGAACTACCTGCAACTTCCTGGGTACCGTAGCTTTTGGTTTTCTTCATTTCCCATCTACTTGTTCTACGGCCTTTCCGCTTAGCAGTACCGACCTTGGTCATGTCCAAGATCACGGGCAAGCTTTGACAGGACGGCCTTCTAAAGCTATGGATTTTTCTACTCAAATGAGAGTTCCAGTAATTCTTTATCTCGTTGTCTGTTCTCCCTGGTAAGTGGCTAGCAATCAAAGACCACCTGCATGAGACAAAAACAATGCCATTAATTTCACGACAACATGTACGAAAATGAAAATGACAAATTCCAGCAAAATAATATACTTCAATAGAAAATGGATTATAAACACAAACAATTTAAGCAGGGAATCTCTTGATTAATTGTGCAGGTAAAAGGCCGTATCAAAAGTTTGCTGTCTTTGTTGGTGTAGGTCAGGTCTTTCCCAACTGTATAAATAAAGAAGGAGAGCTTAAAGCTGAGCGATATAGATTGAAAAAGATAGCGTATATGGTCGAAAAGAGCTGAAAGAACCAAAAGTCGACAAAGAGTCGAAAAGTTAGCCATTATTGATGCCAGCTAGAACGAACTTTTTCATTCATGGAAGATAGAGGAGAGTTATATGTAACCAAGAAGACTACATGTTCAGTCAAGAAAATTATTACCATCACTGTATACTCCATGTTATTTTCATAACTATTCACTTTTTAATATTCTGGTTTCTGTTTTCTTTTGGGTATGGTGGGAGTAGAGGAGAAGAAATGTCGCACTAACCTATTCCCCAAAGTAGCATGGAGATTAATGATGAGTTCTTCCTCTTCGGCGGTAATGTTTCCCCTCTTCAAGTCAGCTCTCAAGTAGTTAATCCACCGTAGTCTGCAGCTCTTCCCACACCTCAGTAATCCTTCAAATACCAAACCGTACACAATCAAAACACAACCCAAAAGCCAAAA